GTCACTCCCACAAAGCATCTGTGAAAGTGGTTGATGACAAGTCGCTGGGGCCTGGTGCTCCCACACACAGTAGCCACTCTTATTAGCACCCTATGCTTCTGAGGTTCCTTGTAACCAGGTACCCCTTGGGCTTCTGGCTCATTCTTAGCGAGCCACAAGTTCATAATGCAGAGCCAGAATCTAGCCCAGACAAGAACAGCAGTGCTGGCTTGTGTGCCTACTGGATGCCCAGCTTCAGACTGAGTGCCCGCAGTACCCGCAGGTGAGGGTCTGACAGTGTGAAAGAAAGGGAAGTGTTTGGGCCTCAAACTATGGAGGAGAAGAAAAAAAAATAACCTTAAATGTTTAATTAACTGTCTGGAAACCCAAGAATCATGTCAGATTCATTAATCGTTCCATTTAGTTGTCATGAAAATTTCATGACACTTTGCTATAGTCGAAGAGAATTTATAGCGGAATGCTCTCACCCACTACGCATTCCCAAGTGTGACGCTTGGTGAGGAGACCATGGCTGGTTCTGACTAAGTGAATTTCCTGTGTTTTTAAAATCTAGGAAGATGGTTCAGTGGTAAAGTGTCTGTCATATAAGCACCGGGACCCAAGTTCAAATCCCCAGCATACACATGAAATTCGACTGTGGCGGCTCATATCTGCAGCTCCCATAAGCTAGCGCTGGTGCTGGCAGAACCAGGAGATCTTGGGGCATGCTGACGAGGCAGTCTGCCAAATCAGTGAGGTCTTTGGTCCATGACTAAAAATAAGGTGGAGAGGTATGGAGGAAGGCACCTGACACTCCATCTACACACGAGCCCACCACACACACAGTAAAGTCCACCGGGAATTCGTCATTCCAGCACTCTGGAGGCTGGGGCGGGAGATTTGCTGCCTATCTGAGGCCAGCCTGGAAAAGAGTGAGACCCCGGCTCAAAACAAAACAAAAGAAAAAACAATAAATTAGTAAAACACAATGCCGAGACTATAAACTTCAAAGTAAGGTGTGGCTTGAGCCCAGGGTGGTTGTCTGGATGTGAGAAAGATGGAAGAGAAATTCTGAAACAGGTTGATCAGTGGGGAGGAAGGGGATAAAAACCTCTCCTAGACGCTACAGCTGACCAGTGACTGTCTTCCCTGTCCCCTGGCCCACTTCCTGATGACAGCTAGCCCTAAGTCAAGATAGGCCACCTTTCCCGAACCCCAGCTGGAAAGGCACATGCCTTCTCAGCCCCTTGTATGACTTCCTGAGACATTGTTTCTCTGAGGGTCTGGGTGGGTACCTAGCCTTCCAACCCAACCCTGGGCTGGACTCACACACCGCTTAGACAAACCAAGTGTCTAAACTGTTTGGCAGATGACTAAGTAGACAAATGAGATGGCTTTGTTACACAGAGGGACAGCTGGGGACAGTGATAAGCAGCCTGTAGCACATGCTCAGCTCTCTGAAGGAACCTCTGGTGCAGCCAGACTTGGGCTAAGAACTGTGGGATCCCACTGTCAAAGGGAAGCTGAGACCATAAAGAGCAGGACTTTTTCAAGGCCCAGGGCCAATAAATGGACATGCCCGAGTGTATCCGGCCTCAGTGGACAGTGGGGGACACTGAGGCCAGCAGTGCTCCGCCTTAAAGGATCCACACCTCCAGGGACTTGAGGAAGCTTGTCTGCCCAGCACACCTGCCATAAGCCATCTTTTTGCTTTGCTCTAGATAGGGCACCATAGACACCTGGTTCCAGTCTCTGTCCAAAGCTAGCTTACACCTCCCCCCTCCCCAGAGTCTTACATCACAATCCTGGCTGTGGGGAGGAAAGGAGATGGGTTTTGCCAACACGATGTGTGGTAAAAATATATCTCTTTTCAAAGAGAGATCACAAAACCTGAAGACTGGAGATCAGTAACATGTAATTATCCCCTGCTTTGGGTGGAGAGTTCTAATAGTTTCCAGAAAAACACAGAGTGTGCTCTCCAGGATAAAAAGAGACGAGCTTGGCGTGCCATCTTGTATCTCTGGGCCCTTCCAAGCCTGGAGGAGGAAGCCTTCCTTCCTTCCTTCCTTCCTTCCTTCCTTCCTTCCTTCCTTCCCTCCTTCCTTCCTTCCCTCCTTTCCTCTTCCCTTCCTTCCTTGGCCTTGAACACCCTCTGAGGCTCTGAGGATGCAAGGCTGCAGACACAGCTTCATCAGACCCAGCAGAGAATAGGCTAGAAAAAGGCTGGGAGGTGCTGGGTGAACTGGCAAGGATGCCTAGGTCTCTGCCAGGATCTGTTGTGATTAGATATTGTTGTGATCTGAAGTAATGCAACCCCAATTTTGTCTGGGTACACAGTGATCCAGAATACAGGCCACCTTTCCCAGCATTCCATGGAGGTCAGAACCATAAAACGAAGTTCTGTCTGGTAGGTTATTTGGTGGGAAGTGTGTGCAGTCTACGAGATGTGTTCTTCAAAGTGGGATATCTGCTGTGTTTGCTTAGGTTTGCGGCTGCGTTATAACATTCGGGCAAAAAAAAAAAAAAAAACAACCCACATAAAACAAACAAAAATAGCTACTTCATCTTCTACTTCACAGTGCATCACAGAGAGAAGTGATGTTAGAACCTGAAGCAGGAACCGTGGAAGAATGCTGCTCACTGGCTCAAGCTCAACCAGCTTCCTCATACACAGCCCAGGACAGCCAGCCCAGGAGTGCCGCTGCGCACAGTGGTCAGGGTCCGTCTGCTCACATCAATCATTAACCATGATGGTCTCTCACAGACATGTACACGGCCAATCAGACCTGGGCAATCCCCCAACTGAGACTCCTTCGGGTAGTTCTGTATGCACTTGACAGCTGAAGCTATCTGGGACACTCATCCTTCCTGTGAGAAGGAACAAGCAACCGTTCTGAAACTTAGGGCAAGCCCAAAACCAGAGGCTATAAATGGCAGAGCAACAGGGTAAGAACCTGGGTGACTGCTCGGAAGCTTAGGTGCCCGCCGACTGGTGCAAGCAACGCAAACACAGCAGCAGGCACATCTGCACAGTCCAGTCTGCTACGGAGGCTAAAGGGAATCCCAGGGTTGAAAATTAGCTTGGGATTTTTTTAAGCTCTCTTTTTGCCATTTATCTGAAACAAAGATGAAGAGTACAAGATGATCCAAACCTTTAGAAGAACTCCAGTAGGCATTATGATATAGTCTTGACACTCAAGATGGTAGGAGGATCAAGAATCTGAAGACAGGCTTGGCTACAGAGCGGGACCCTGTCTCTGACATTAAAAAAAAGAAAAAAGAAAAAAAAAAAAAAAGAAATAGTGACTGCTGAGATGTCCGTGGCAGAGTCACAGAATTAAGCTTCTGGCATGGTGGATGCCAGGAAAGCCAGGCATGCCTCAACCTAGCTTCCTCTCCTGTTTCCTTGTGGGAGAGACACCAAAGACGTTTTCTGTTTATGCAAATTGTGCGAGCACATGTGGGGCGTGGGATAGAAATGCCTTTTCTTGCTTGTTATCTCTGTTTTTTCTAGTGAAGGAAAGTGAGGCTTAGATGCCCACAGCAGCAGAGGAGCAGGTCCCAGCTCCAGCCTGCTTTGGAAGGAGGCTGACAACACTCCCAGCTCAGCCTGCTTCTTGAGCTTCCCCACCCCACCCCACGCCACTGTGGCAATGAGGCATGGTGTGGCTTCATGGTGAGGGCCTCAGAGATAGGAAGGGGTCCCCTCACACTGTCTGCGTGAATGAATCCTGGACGAACACACACACACACACACACACACACACAGTCCCCACTGGGCTGGGCCTGTGCATATCAGGGTTATCAGCATACAAAGGCCATTATCAAACAAGGGCAGAGCTGAGGGAAGGAGACCTGATGGGACCAAAGCCCAGTGGAGAGCTGACTCCTAAGGTTGGCCAGAAAACCACCTCAGCCAATGGGTCACAACCTCGACGGGGATCAAATGACCCTTTCACAGGGGTCGCCTAACGCCATCAGAAAAACACACATATTTGCATCACGATTCCTAACAATAGCAAAAGTACAGTTATGAAGTATCAACGAAAATAATTTCATGGTTAGGGGAGCGGGTCACCACAACAGGAAGAACCGGGAACAGAATTGGGAAGGTTGAGAACCACTGACCTAGGCTCTGACTCCTCTCAAGACAGCTAATGTAAGGAAGAGAAGGAAGCAGAAATAAAAGAGGCTGAAGAAAGAGGTGAGGAAGACAGGCATGTCCTGAAGCCTGGCTCTCTAAGTCTGGAGCCACCTTGGCTAGGGACCAAGGAAGACCCCCTGGGCAAGAGGCAGTTGATGAGTGAGCACCACCTGGTGGTCAGTCTCCAAATGGTGCCTCTAGGGAACCCGAGTGATGCCCCCTCCATCCTCCCGGCTGAAGAGTGTGTTTAAAAGGTGACCTTAGTTATTCTGGACAGCAACGAGCAATACAATTTGCTGTTTTTCTTGGATGGTTTTGCAGGCTCTGGGTCCTCCACCTCCTCCCCCCCCCCCGGGAAGTCATAAAAGTCACTTGGAAATTTTAAAGTTTCCCCATGCACAGGCTTTATCCCAAGCTGTATGGATCTGGACTGGTCATGGCTTGTGTAAAGACCCTTTCAAGCTCTGTAAGGTGAAGCTGGCTGGAGAATCTGCCACCTGCTGCTTGTTTTGCAGACATCTTTCAAGCACATCACCTTCTTCTGGTCACCGTTTCTTGCCCCTGCCCTGACCTGTGCAGCAATACTACTGTACAGGGGTCCCAAGGTCCTGCCCTCTACTCCTCACCCACGCCTCTCCAAGTGGGGGTCCAGATGGGCAGTGCCACCCCAGTGCCAAGCCTCCTCTCTTCTTCATCACATACGGCAACTCCAGCTTGCTCACCCACCCTGATTTTGACATGATTTCTTTCGAGAACCACACCAAAGTTTCATTTTCTCTTTCTCCAGAAAGCTGGCGGGGGGGGGGGGGGAATGGAGCCAGTTCAGTACAGTATTTGTTTCCGGGGTGGAAACAGCTGGTGTCTGCAAGTCCAAGAAGCCACCCCTTTCCTGTGGACTCAGAGCCTCAGGCTCGGCCACTGAGCCGGAACTTGCCACCCCAGCCCTAAAGGTGCCCTGAGGCTGCTGTGAGCATGGCAGAAGCTCCTGCTGACCCGAGCACAGGAGGTAAGCGGTGGCCCTGGGTGAGGTTTCTATGGCTCCTTGTAGCTCTTTCCTTGGCCAAGACAGCAGCAGTACTGTGAGGACATCCCAGTGCAGGAAGAGGACACCACAGGTGAGCCAGCATGCTTCAGGGATCCTGCACCCCAGATCCCTCAGGGGCTTTGACCCTTGACCTGGTTCATAATACCT